ATAAAGCAGGTACGTGTATCATATCTGCCTTCTTTAAGAGCATCGAAAACCAAAGTGAATATGCTCCCAACAATGCAGTTTGTATATAAGTACATTTACCTTTCTCATTCCATATCTTCATCTAGTTCAATTATTTTGTCTTGAAATTCGTTTTATTGTGACTAATATGTTTCTACCCAAAATAAGACCAATCAGCCAGCAGACACACCGGTAGGCGTCAATGATTTATTTATAAAACAAAAGCTATCCAGTATGACAGAGATCTGAAAAATACTTTCTTTATACTATGTACTGTGTAGCCTTGTGATGAACCTTCTTTAATTGCCTTGATTAACCCACTGGGGATAACTATTGAAATCTCAACTGAGACATGCCGAATATTCACTCTTTCTAGTGCACAATGGAGACATGTAGAATATTAATTCAATTCTGACCTAACGAATAATATTTAAAACCTGTGGTGAATTGATGGTATCAAACCCGTTGATTTCTAGAGGTGGTAAGTGAACATTATTTTCCATTAGAATCAATGGCACACGCTTGAGTTCAAGCGAAACGCAATAATACACATTGAACACAATACCACGGATACGTGTATGTCTTAATGCATAAGCACGTGCATCTTTAAAAAACCTTGCATGCAAAGATGTTGGTTTGCTTGGTATATGTCTTCAAAAAGAATGCGAGATTTTTGTTAATAATCAAATTTACAGAGTAAATCCAATGACATTTCAATGCATGTGTGTAGTTTTGATATATTTACATGTATGACAAATGGCGACAAAAATAAAATCATTTTTAAAGTTTGGTACAAATCCGCAGAGAAAATAAGGTAAATATTCTTCAATACAGTTTAAACAAGTTCACATGTCTCTGTTTCAGTCTTCTCTCACGATATCCTAACTTCCTTATACAACACAGGAGTGACGTTGTGTGGGCCACAGTAAATAATGAATGTCTGACTGTCCGGACATAGGAATAAGGCATCGGGGACAGCTTATTCTCTAACAAAATGTCAAACAAGTAGAAATAAGGCATCAGATAGCTTTATCAGGACGGACAGAAACTTCCAATGACAGGTCACCGAGTCTCACCGGAACCGCCGTAACACATGTCTAGTCTGGTACGATTTAAATTCGACACCGCGTCACCACTACATATAATACTACCGTGTTATGTGTGCGAAAAAAAATAATAACCAGAAACTTCGATTATATTCTAGGTAATTGTAAAGAAAGATAACTGTAAAACGATTTCCTATTTTGGAACTCTCCTGCTTACTTGTTGACCGATTTATTGGCGGGAATTCCTGGCATAAGATGCCGGCTGTTTCTAAAGGCTATCGGAAACAAACGATCACTTTCGTCTTGACCTCCTTGAGTGATTTCACCTCTTTCGGAATAAAAGAGTATGTGTAAAATTAAAGTTTACACTATATCTGTAAGGATTATTCGTTTTTTTTTAATTAAAATTTTTGTTTTGTTTTTTTTTTTTTTTTTAAGGGGGATTTTTTTTCGTTTTTTTTTTTTTTTTTCCCCGAAGGAAAAAGTTTAGTATAAGGTATCAATATTTAGAATGGACCGCGAAACGTCGATCCATTCAAGAAACATTGATACCAAACTGAACTTTTCTCTTTCAATAACACGGCCACAAAGACATTTTAATCCTCAATTAATACTTCCCAAGTGCTTCGCCGTAACGTAAAGAATTGCATGCCGTTAAAGAGCTCTAGTCGCGGGGAACACTGAACTTCCTGACATAATTAACTTGAGTAATGTATCAAGTTTAAGGAAAAAAACATTTTCAATATGATTCAATTTCCTGTGTTTGCGTGTATCTATTACAGTTGACACCCTTCAAAGCTAACTATAGAAAATTGTTACATTAATAAGTAATTTTGGTGAAATAAATGCACCTACTGTTCTGCATGTGCATTTCAATTTTATAAATATTTGTAATTCGAATGGGGTTAAATGTGCTTTTTCGCTATATACAGAAGATATTGTTTTCTGTCATTGTAATTATAAATTCAACAGTGTATCAATTTCATGTAACAATCCCCCTCAAATATTGTAAAAGTGCGTACCTACTCTAAGCTTGGATTCAGTATGTAGGACAGAAATTAAATACGCGATCAGGGGAAATTCTTTAACGGAAATCTGTTTCATATGTTCATTTTACACCATCGACTAAATTCGATATCTACTTTAACTGCTACCTTCAACAAAGCTCTTAATCGGGAACATAACACGTTGTTTGTCCCATTTTCTCACGTGCAATAGTTGCAAGGTAAACAACTCTGCAATATTAACTATCTCAATGATATCAAAACCCTATCTGAATCTTGAGGTCAAAGGTTATTCGAAAATGATGATTTTAAAAGTCGATACAATCAGTTTTCCACTGTTTATTATGGAACTTTTCAATTGACATTTACATAACACTGACATTCGTCAAGGAAAACTAAAATTATGAATTAGTGTTGATATGAAAGCTTTGCTAAATGTGAACGTTTGGTATTATTCAGCACCTAGTCACAGTTGTTTTAGATTGAATTAGAAATGTTTAATGAAAAATGACCAACAGCCGGCTGAAATAATTTCAGGATACGAAAGAAGATTGGTCTGTATCATAATCATGGAGAGACAAACTGTCTAAGGATTTCGACACATGATGATTGGTGTACAACAAACATCACGAAAACACGATAACGATGACACAGTGCAAAGAGAGGAAATAATATCACATTAAGAAAGATGATGCATGCTTTCGTGAAAAGAACAAATGCATTTAGTTTCATAAATATTTTATTTCATCGATTTGTACAACAGCAACAATTCGTATATTGCAACAAGACGCTCGCTGTGACGAAATCGCTCACCTGGTAATGATATTTAATGGATAAGGTCAAGTTCGAAAGAACAATTCACTTTTTAATACAATGTTTTGGTTTACCTGCAATAACATATATTGTGGTTGAGCACCTCGATATTAACAAAATTATTATTGTGCTGTTGTAGTCAACTTTTTCTTCTGTGTTATTGGATCCCACTGTATTACCGGAAAGGTTTTCATCAAAGTGTTGTAAAATCCTAATGCTCAACACTTACTGCCTCTCCCACCCCTCTCGTCCCCAGTTTTAAATCATGTTACAATGCCAATAGAACAGTTCTTGGGGAAGACTTTTTAAATGAAAAATAACACAGAACAAACGACAGACGTGATACGCCATTTCTGCTTGATGAGCAAATAAATATATACACAAAGTATTTACATCAACTTATTGTGTCTTTCACATACATTTCAGTCTATACAAATCACATTCTACTTATCAATTCGACATGAAACAAAGGAATTAACAAACACTGAATTACCACTTACGTCCTGTAGTAAATTATACATACGATATATTTAACCAAACAATCAATAAATAATACTTATCTGTCTATCTTACATCAACGTACATAGGTTTTTAAGATCAATTTCATATCAGTGATGTAATACCTTAAATATTATATCTAAATGATATAGCACTTATGTTTATTCGTATAAATATTCATACTTACCGCCGTAAAACAAGTTAAGTTACCCTTCCCAAAATGTGATTATTTAAACATTTACATCATATTCTGATTTTGAAAAAAAAATATCATACGAATTGGAACTCATGTCATTGTAAGGATCTCCAATCCTCACAGCCACAATATGACTGCTGATCGACATATTAACTCATGTACAAATATACATCTATTAATTGCAACTATACTTTGTGTATAGTTGCCGTTTTCTTATACATTCTATATCCATATACCACCACAAGGCCTTTTTCTATATTACAGCAAAGACAGTACCATGCACTTGTAACATTCAGACCTATGTATATCTGAACATGCATTTGTTTCCTAAGACTTCCTAATGGCTCCTATCAATTTTATGCTGATGCTACTGAACCAAATATTAACTACATTATGCTTGATAAGTAGTTCCTGTGATTGATACCGAGCAAGTAAAGCGATATGTACACTAAACGTTGTATGAAAATGAAGCTATGAAAAATAATAAGTTGTTACCTGTGGCACACAATAAATAAACACGATAAGACAACAAATGATAGAATCCATACTTTGTCATGCATCAAATTGAAACTTTGAATGGATGGAGATTTCGTCATATTATATCGGATATGTACCATTTACTCTAGTATTTACTGTGTCCCAAAACCTTTTTCTGTCTGCACTCTCTGACCCCAGTTTCATGATATCTTTTTTTTTCTTTAAATGTCTGTTATTCAAATTTCTCCGAAAACTCAAAGATCATTAACGACAATGTAAATAGAAATGCTATGATCAGTACATAACACTGGGGTCAGACTTCGAGAATAAATCATAAATGCTAGTTTACCAAGGTTCGCATTATACATTGTGGATGATACAAATGCGATACCTTCTCATGGGTCCAAACGCAAATTTCGAGAAAAGGAGGTATATCATATCCGAATGGCTTATACCAAACATAGATTACAGGGGTTCTTTAACGTTCAGGACATCTCACAACTTGCCTAATTGAGTTATGAGGTTCAATATGCTTCCAATATGACGATGTACCAGCCATTGTGAACAATGCTTAACAAACATGTTTGATTCTAATTCACAAAGTACCGGTCAAAACAGTAGACAATCAGTTTACACATAATATTTACTTTTGAATAATCATAGACAGTGACGAACAAAACAAACACGGCTGAAATTTTACTATATCACAGTATGGGATGTTAATTTGTCCAAGGACAATGTTTTGATAAACATGACCTTCGTCTGACCGTCAGGTCAACGAATCACCGAAGATATCCGAAGTTCGTCGAAGTATGACGGAGATGATCAGTGCTGGTTGCCTCCAAACACAGATATTGGTGAGAAGTCATGTATAGGTTAAGTATTCCACTATAAACATTTGTTTATCTTAACTATACAATGTCTCCTCCTTACATGCCTTACATATGTTTATGTCGTCGACGTCGAATTTATCCTGAAAAAACAATAATTTTAAGTATAGTTTTCAGGAACAATTCCAAATATGTCATGATGATACCAATTTGATACATAGTGTATTTTTTTTTATACGGGTATGACTTATAACGTTATCTATGTACATGAATATATATATATCACATTATATTATTTAGAATTATGGTCCGACTATAAAAAGGACCGTGATATATGTTATCTCATACCTGTTCTTTTTCCGGTTCCGGCGGTTCTCCCGTCCTCGATTTCTCACACTATTTTGGTTTGTACCTGTGCTATTTACACGATTCTTGTTTCGGTTCGTTCTGCAGTTTTTGCGCTTCTTCTTTCTACACGATCTTCGGTTTTTGTTCCATTTCTGTATCAAAAATATAAGATTATAATAAATTTTCATGGTAAATTTCCATTTTCATGTATACGATAACAAGCAATGATGCTGTTGAGTTACCTATAAACAACTTAAGAATCGAAAAAGGTTTACGATTGAAATCCTTTTATAGGATTTCCAATTCACATGTTTTAGAGTACTCTGGTTATCTCTCTGAAATAATTCCTACAAGAAATATTGCTTATCAGACGACAGATTAAACTTTTGTCATATTCGTGTATGATCTACAATGGCAATTATGGTAATTCACCATTTAACTTTCCCTTATTTTGAATATTCTATGTAAATTTGGTTAGGTCATATTAGACCAATACTGAAATAAGTAATAACCGTCGTTTGCGATGATGAATATCTTCAATGGGAGGATGTTTAAGTTCGAGGTGTTCTGCAAGTTTCAGGTATTTAAAGTCTGGCTCCATATGTCTTTAATGAACCACAAACACAAATGTTCACTGACCCTGAAGACAAGCACCATACCAGAGCACTCACATATTCTTCTTTCCAAACATTCTTGACAGATATCCCAAAACCTTAGTTCCATTTCGATGTTGTAAACCAGTATGTGCATTAAGAACCAGTGTGTGTGTAGTGCTATTGTTTGGCCTAAAGGTTGAAAATGAGTAACTCTATCAATGCTGTTGAGATTTTTTTAACATTTCCATCTGGAGCTGATTGGCAAATTATAAAGGCCCTGTTTCTGCTATGTGAATTATCATTCCTTTGTGTGTCTTTAATAATAATCTAATTTTGAAAGCCTAATTTCTGCAGACCCCCTTTTGCTCAAATAGTGTTATATTGTGCCACTAGAGATAATTTTTAAAATGAAGGAATGTCACAATTGTAGTTTTTACAAACATTGTTATTTATAGTGTTTAGTGAGATCATTTTTAACGAAGCTGTGCTATTTTAGGAACAACTTTGATGTTATATTATGTCAAATGTGTCATAACATTGATAAACATGACGAGTCTGCATGCATAACATCCAATCTGTACAAATAACTCATTAATAATGAAAAACAACGTTAATGCATGGAATGCTGCTGTTGGCGGCAAAACTAGCATCTGCTTAATTTCACTGACAAACCACTGATCACATCATGTTTCACATCGAAATGCCTCTGATCAGAAAGAAGGTCTCATATTCTATATAATCTAGTAAGTAATATCGACAGTGTGGTCCAATATTGGTACTGAATCCTAACAAGCAAATGTTCGTTGGATGCGTATTTCTGGAATAGATATATGATAAATGAAGTGGTAACGACAGTACCGACAATTCACTTGTCCGTACTGTTATTATTACTTCATCGATCATTTGTCTATATATGTATATGTGTTTCTTCTTCTCAACCTTACTACAGGGTACACTCTGCCTCTCAGATTATTTGCTCCCAACCGCCATAACTTTCAAAACCTCTTCGAGCAAATACGTCTTTATCAAAATTACAATTACAGTTTATCCTCATCATTTCGAACTCTTGTAACTGGAAGACACAGAATAACTAATAGTATTTCGGCGGCCCTGATCCTACTTCACAAAACAGTATGATAACTTCATTGAAATAGATATTCGGCAAACTTGAAGTTTTCCCATGGACCCGCCGACTTCGAGATAACGAGGTTCGACTTTGTAAACTTCTTTTGAAACAGATTTTATTGAAAAGAAAGCATACTTTTCTTTTATTCTAACATCAAACTTAATCATTTTAAACTTATCTAATATGTTTTATTCGGAATAATTATTAAATCCCCTTTTCACTGTTGTCATTTTTTCTTTTGTCATATTTCTAAACTTACCGCTATACGTTTTTCCCATCGTTTCTGCCATTTGGTAGCAAAGCAATTATCAAAGAAGAGAAGTCGCTGGGTGGCAGGATCGTCATAACCAATAATTAGATATTCCTTTCTGCGGAGAAGCTTCGGACATACACACGTAGAGTTGGTCCATAGTTCGATCCCGTTGTTTTCAATGATGTGTACTCGTGTGCTCTTGAGAACTTTAATGACGCTTACCCTCGTTACAGTATTTATCGTATTTGCAGTATCGTGCCCGAGAATTCTCGCTCGTATTGCTGAAATTATAGCAAATAACATTTACAGATATAGAAGAAAAAGCGCAAGATTGCATTGAAAATATAGTCACATATATTGTTTGCTACATGTGCATGGAAAAAAACTAACTAACGTTCAGATCCCTTCCAAAAATTGGCTCTATTGTGATTTTTCGATATTTGCAATTGAATTCTTACAGACCTTTGTCTACACACTGAAAAAAGTTCCAAAAGAAAAATATTCAATAATGTACAGCCTTTTAATTCTTAAACTATTGATATAAAAACTGAAACAGCACATGAAGTAGTCAACATGTGTACCGTTTCCCACGTTTCAAACTAAGCGGATTAATACATGCCAACAACCTGTGATTCCTTTCTTGGTTTAGTTTGTAAAATCTTTTGTCAGTTTGTATAATTAATTGATATTTGCTACAAACTTCTTTGTTCTTTGACTGTGAAAATCGTAGTTATATCTCATTCATGTTGAATGAAACTGCATGAATTATAACTGTTTTTATACCTTATTTTTTCGGTATAACCTTCCTTGTACTTAATGCGTGATATGACGCCATTTGGTTATGAAATCAATTTGCTTCAAATGTTGTATTAATGTATCAGACGAAATCTGACGAATTAATAGGGGGAAAATTGGTACCAAGTTAATTTTGTCTCTGTTGTGTCTAATGATTCATAATAAATTACTGATGTAATTGGATATAGGAGTTCAGTAACTAACGTGCCGTAGTGTGTGTACAGCCTGACATAAAGACCAGTATGATTAACTCCAATTGAAACACGGTAACGATATATTTTTATATTGTTTGGATATAAGAGTACATCGGGAGTTCTTCACTCAGTGAGCATGAGAACGTGAATTTGCAAAATTCATTGATCGCTTAAAGTTTTTGTAGTGGCTGTATAGCACAAGATGATACCACACACACACGCTTGTCTGTAAATAGGCTAATCATCAACATTATTACATGTGTCCATTCATGGAACTGTCTTGAAATTTTATATCTTTAACATCTAGACCACTATGAAGATAACGTTATATGGTTGGGAGGACGTACGTCGGGATTAATTATGATTAGCGCACCTTTTAACATCTATGATTATTTCAGGTTGAGGGGCTGTCTATCATTCTGACGGCACGTTTTGTTAAATATTACATAGGACACGCGATGTTGTGGAACTCTTATCATTTAAAGTACAGTACGTCAGCGGATATGACGCAACAAGTTTTCATCACCGAACACAGAAGACCAGATCTGGTATGTGGGTGGGAAGTAATATTATGCTTTCGAAACATTATTGCCAAAAACCAAAGAAAAATACGATTGTATTCTCTTCAGCACAGTTTTCCCTATTTCCCATTGATAAGTGTGATATAGAAATATTATATAGAACGAAGATAGCGTGTCGTTCTACTTAAGGACAAAACGAGAATATTAAAAAAATGCTTAAACATAGGGAAGATGAACTACTACCATATAGATTAAAGGGACATCACAACATTCAGGAAGACAAAATGAAAAATATTGACGACATTCAGATGGATGAGGAGTCGGCGTCGAAAGATACAGAAAATTTAGTATTATTAAAGCAATTATCAGATATTTGGATTTAACGAAATTAATGTAACCATTGGTCTAGTGAAGCTGATCTCGCCACCTGTATTTTTACTTTTCTTTCGATGACTGATCTTCCACAGTCGCCTCGAAGGCTTAAATTAGGTCCTTAACTTCACTTACAATGAGTGTTTATCTCTTGTATGTCTTTGTGTACAACCTTTCAGAGACAAATACCTTCCTATTTTAAGTATTGCTTTACACCAGGAAAATCTTTAACATTTATTGATTTGTAACAACCATTTAGTGTATATTGCAAAACTTTTTATAATTCATGGTCATTGTGACTCTGATAAAAGTAAAGATATAAACCATATTGATACTTGTATCTGTCAAAATCAAATTGTCACGTGATCACCATTTTTTTCCGACATTGACCAGATCGTCCGTTATAGTAACAATACTATAAACGTATACTATTCGGGAAAGCAATTTCTAAATTCATTGCCAATTCACCAATGGATTAAGATGGGCATTTCAGCCCACCTGAGAATTAGTTCCTTCGTGGAGGAGAGTTTCATATTCTGAGCGTCGTTAATATCCTCCTGTATTAGCACACAAGATGACGAAGACAACATAAAACTCGACACCTGTGTGTAAAAGATGAAACCCGACCTTGGTATTTATCGCGGAGTTTAAACTCTCCTTATGACAACCCGTAAAAGGTTGGGTTTTCTTTTTGAATGGTAGGATTAATACATGCGAACTATCTGACTATTGGGAAAAGATATTTCACAATTACGACCATATATCTTGATTCAAAATGTCATTTCAAGACAGAAGATATAGACGTTTAGGTTATTATTGTGTAAACTTGAATGATATTGATATAGAGAAATGTTTTTACATTGATTTCTCAGTTGTCTGAGAAGAGTTCTTTCCTAGAGGGGGAGTATGTAACCCTGGTAAATACCAGCCACAATATACCGCGCTCGGCTAGCGTATGCATTGAAATGAAATCATGGCCTCTGTTACACAAATTACAGTATTGGTCATTTATGAATATCATATTATGCTTCATATAAAAACTACAAGAATATACCAACAAGTCAACATAATCATACTCCTAATTAAAATTCAATAAAATTAAGGCAAAGATATGATATGAACAAAGAAAGATTTACACATGACTTCTGAAAAAATACGTGGAGAATCAGACCAAGTGTTCCAGAAGCGGAAGCGTCCTCTGCTTCATTGACGACACCCGCTATGTAAAGCTTGGCAACTGTAGAAACAGCAAGTTCTTGCTCTAAAATGTCTGTATTAGAACACTACCATCCCAACCCGTTTCCCGACCTAGCACCACAGAGCACAGATATAAGTATTTAATATGATATTACTAGGAAGATGTGTTTATCTTTAATCGGAGTCAAAAAGAAAAGAATGAGAAATGAACAAGGTGACATATGATGTCAAAATCCATACGATCCTGTAAAACAAACAAAATTCTACACTCATCGTTTCAGTAAATACCAAAACATTCACATAACACAGAGGAATCTGTTCTAAAAATTCCATGCCATTCTTAAATGTAATTAGTGACTGAATCTAATTACTTTGTTAAGCATTCCTCTCGTGCCGTTTCACCTATTTACAAAGGCAATCTGTACACAGGTACAGGTATTTGTAAACTTCGGCCATTTTCTTGATACACAATTCCTCATTGTTAATAAATTGTCTTTGATCTCGGCGCACCTTACTGTACCGATGTATTATGGTTTAGCTTAACATTTACGTATACAAGAAACTGTCAAATGTATTTATGTACACTTAACACGCCAACAGCAACCTTACCTTAATTATCCATGTGCCTAAAATGAGCTTTAATGGCTTAGGGCATAAATATACTTCGAACAGGCCCTCTATGATAGACATTAGACCTTTCGTGACAGTAGCTGTAAATAGTCCGATTTAACTGTTTAATTAGAAATATGGAATCCTCGGGCCTTGCTTACTTGACTGATGTTACTAGTGATACGTTACTTGTGTTTGAGGTGACCGCTAACCCCGGCCTTACATAAGTCACACCTTTCCCATTTGTTTCTCCCTGGCCTTGTTTAAATTACATCTAGCTGGCGACAAGCACGGTTATTACATCCCGAGGAATAAGTGTTTATCGGTGCAGAGTGCATATTAACATCTAAAATTAAGTGGGAAAGCTTTCTTTTCTGTATTTGATTGGTTTTTCTCTACATCACATGCAGATAATACTATGTAGAAATCCATCTGATATCACTCTGTTTCAGGCGATAACAGACTATAACGTTACGTAGACAAATATTGCTTTCAGTTATTTTGTAGCAAGATCTGTCATCTATACCAACTCTCGGAAAAAATCACTTACCAAAATTAAATTTCCCCTTTTTATAGAGCCTCTTCCTGAGTCGTGGACGCTTCGTACAATGACAACCACCTAAAATGATAAAAGTTCTTTATGGCAACATACAACTGTATTGTCATAATTCAGGTATTATATTTTCAGTTACGATTCGGTTAAAATACATTGAAATAAATCAAAACGACTATTTTGACTCCATCTCTTTCCTTTTCTTTTCACGTCAGCAAATTATAAACCTTTACTTAAGAGGAGTACATAAATAATGAGAAGACGCTAACGGCGTCACAAATATCAATCATTTGCAAACATTATTCAAATCTTGAATTCTACGCTCGAGGTGTACAATTGAAAGCTCGCATTTCCTTCTTATAAACATGAAGCTTTCCATTGTGTGTTATGTACACACATTATTGTACACGTTTAACGAAATCATGTCACTATTGTCTGGTTCCTTTGTGAAATTCGCCCGCATACTACATTGGCTGTTGCGTGGACGTTAAACGGCGTAACAATAACCACAAAAAAAAACATAATAATAATAAAATTCTGAACAATCTTGGTTAATCCAATCAAATAATATCATGGTCCCGAATGAGAACAAATTGAAAACAACGACACAATCAGTCATACAAAAGCATCAAACATGTCAAATTTCATATTGCTCACAGAAATACAACATTTCCTAATGAAGACATTATTGTATAATTTAGAAGGCTGGTGTTAATTTTGAAATATGATGTATATTCTTTTATTCGTTTTTATATTTAAAGAATGAAGTCAAAGTTATTAAAATCCATATCTTTTGCGGAAAAAGAAATAAGAAATCTAAAAAAAAAGTATATCCATTTTTTGGCTAAGTCTCATTTTTCCCTTTCTTTTCTCGGGAAAATATTTCGCAATGACAGTTAAAGTGATTTCTGGTGTCTGGCAACGCACGTGCCAACAGAGTGTACTCGGTGCTTTTGCATAAAGGTATGCTCCAAGCGGACGTTGTTCTATCTCGGCTCTAACCCCATTTCTTATAGATGTTTTCAAAGTTGATACCAACATTAAAGTATCCCATCTTAAGTTATTAACTAAAGGAGATCCGCAGTGACATACAAGAAAGAGGTTCCTATATTTCAAACATCACCGATTCCTTTGAAATTGCCAGCTAGGCTTGTAGTGGTACGACCTGTCTAAAGCTACCTCGCCGGATGGTGGTCGTCATATTAACTTCAATGGGAAAAATCAAATGGATTCCTCAGCCGCTTGCTCACAGCTTAACCTCTAGAATAAACACGGTTTGCTATAGGGTGCTTTGATTCGTTTTGTATTTGCAAATAGTATTTCTCACTCAGGAGTTTGTTAAACATTCTCACTTTTTCATCAAAGAAATACAGTCTTATGAACATTGAGAACAACACATCCGTGTTAAGTGTGGATTTTCAGAGATCTAATGTCTTAAGGTGCCCAGTGGGCAATGTACCATACGATCAACAAGGATATGTAAGCGTATATACGACTGTTTATGTTTCCTTAATCACGCAATAAGTTACAATCTATCGCTTTGAATATGTTAATATAAAAGACTTCATCCCGAGAAACAATGTGGTGTTTTTTTAATGTGTCGGAAGTCAGGTTTTGCAGATTAAACGCTCTTTTCACTTTAACATTGTATCAAATTGAGCTGTTGGTGTATTTGTATTTGTTTAAAAACAAGCACATCAAAGTATGACAGGAAATTAAAACTCAGAATAGTTGAAAGAATACACAGTTTTATGGCATACTATCGCATTATTCCTTAAATTAATAGATATTTTTTTCCAGGAACAATCATTGTAACTGAAGTTTGAGGTCTTGACAGGTCATATATACCATCTTTTCTTGCGTTTTGGATTTTTTTATTTACTAAAATATGTTTACTTTCAAATTAGCAGATTACAAATAATGAAAACATTTTAACTATAGGCGAATAAGCACAATGATGAATGCGCACTTTCATAAGTACAATAAGTGCATTCATAATTCAGCTTGTATCTGACACACGAAACGTGCTAAAATAAAATCACCACTAAAAGATGGACATTTTTATTTATTTTGTAGGAACACCCCACATGTCATCCTTTCTGGAAAACTTTTATCCGTCACTATTTTTCACCGATACTGTAATTTGTTTGTGTTCTGTGGAAATTCAAACATTACAGAACTGTAATATGTATTAAAATATCCTAAATGAACTTCCAAATGTTTTTTTAAGTAAAATTGTTTTATTACACGAATTCGATTTTATCGCAATCCTTATGTCGAGTTGCATCTAAATTATTTTATGAGTTTAATGAATTATGCTTGTGACAATACATACATATGTACCATGTATATATTAAGGTATAGATTCCACTTATCATTAAAAATATGATATTAAATTTCAAGTTAGGTCCTTCACTGTTCCTCGAATGGTAAACATCTGTGGTATATACAAAATTCATTATTTGGTTTCGCTGTTGATAATTGTCTACTGGAAATTATATTTTTATGTGTTTTATGTAAGCTGAGGTGCCACACAGGCCTTCTCACCATATCTCCCTCACCCTGACAATCAAACTGTTCAATTTTTCTACCTTTTTTCCTTGTGTTATTGGTCGTATCTCTATCGGACTTGTTCCCTTTGGTTTCTTCAATCGGCTCAGGAGTTGTCTGTCCACCTAAATGAGACAAATACAAAAACCGTTTGTAGTTACGATTATATATCCTTATTATCAGCTTTCAAACGTAAAACAAAGGGAAATAGAACGACTGTGAATGGGAAAACAAATCTCTATTTGTTGGTACATGAAAGAAAGCATTAAGAATGAACAAATAACTTGTAAATGATCAAAGATTGCCGAAGCGAAGTCAGCCCTGTGATCCTGAGGCACGGGACTGGCGAAATGATAGGCTGATAAGGTATTTTACAAATAGCCCGTGCAAACTGGATTTAGACTTATTTCATCAGACAAGCATAAGTGTAATACCATACATATCAAAGGCCTTTTTCATCTGTGTCCCGTCCAGACAGAGAAACACATTATCAAACTCGTCTGAGGCAGGCCTACATTAAAACTTAATACTGCTGTCGAGATAGTATAATACAGTTCATCTCCACGCTGGGATTTCAAGTCGCATCAAAAAGCGACGGTAAGAAGATTTCACAATTTAATGTTCTCTCTGTTGCTGAGGTATAGCATATTGTCTTCTTTGAGGCTAGATATTCTAGGTCTGTTTAAACAGAGCTAATGTCGAAGATATATTGATTAGTCCAGAACCTCTCCATGTCATTATCATCCAACTTTAGGCACAGTCGGAGAAAAACGTTTGTGTTCTCATGAAACATTTTCAAAGAACTGTTTGTTGCTATCTAGGATACCGCCTTGTATCTAGTTTTATGTAAAGCGTTTAAATGATGCAGATAAATCATACTGTGGTTTATGTAACAAATGTTTGAGCACTTATATAACAAACTGATGATGAAATGGAAATTAGTTTGTATGTTATAAATAACATTTTAGATGTCCAAATGAATTGCTGCTTATCCTAATCTGCACCTAGAAAGTAGAAATTACACGATACTACAAGAGAGAGCGAACAATTGTTCAACAGAATATGATCAAAATAAGCCGAGATCGAGCTTTTGCCGTTAAGAGAAACAAATTAATGTACATGTTGGAGACTTCAAAAGCGGCAACATCAAAGGTAAATGTGTAACCCCAGTTATTGTTATCTGTCCGGCATAATACAAACGAATCCAAATATAGAATACAGCGTCTTTGTAGCAAAAATTAATTTACCTTCAAAAATTACTGAGTTGTCTATTAATCATCTGTTACATTTGAATTCACAATAGGATCTCAGTTTATAAAGTGGCTGAACTGGGATTATTTTGAAATTCATTTGTCAAAGCCTAGTTACAAAGGGAACTCTCCAACGTGTGAAGGTGGCAATTTGTAACATCCAGACGTTGATTTAATTCTGGACTTCAAACAGGCGAAAGTTTCATTTCTTCACTGCGAACCGGCAACCTAGCTATTTATCAATCTCACATTCGTAGGGCGCTCAGTAAATGGGAGAAATGTGGCTTTGTATAGTGATATAGAAAGTCCCAGGGAATAACAATATAGATACGGCCACTGGCTTTGTTGTATACTCGCTGTGTCCTCCAAGTATGGGATCATAAACCGACTGATGTTCTTAGTCAACAGTGAGTAAGATTATACGGCTGTTTAATCTTCGCTACGGTGTGGTCATTGCTAATACACTATAGTACGAAATTCTGCCTTTAGTGTGTATTTTCATGGACATTCCGTCAACCAGGCTAAGAAAAAACTTATGATAAACACCTGTAGATCTCTCATTCTTCCATTCAAAATTAATATACCCAAATATAATAGTTTTTAACTGTCATTCAAAAATAATATAACATCTGTTTCTATATGTAGACATCGATCCGCAAACCCACGATGAATTACACAGGTAAAGTTCATATTTATTTTTAATCCGAGGGAATGCGCTAATACTAATTTACATTTATCATGAAACTTAAATTCCCACTTACAACATTACTGTTTTATCCATACATATGAACGCCTTTTTTACAATATTAATGCAAGGGATCCAGTTTCCTTTATGTTATTTGATGATTACAAAATTCATTTCACATGTTGCGTCCAATCTGCTAATGTTGTCTTCGGGGGTAAAGAAATGGACATATGATAGGTATGACTCGTATTTTTTTTTTTTTTTTTTTTTAATTTTATACAAAATATTACAGAAATGCTTCTGAAGGATTTACAAAGAGTCCGCCTTAAAATTCATGATTTCGTTGAATATATACTGACACTATTAAGATATTATGGGTTTTTTGTCCCTACACTTGTATGGAATACAACATCCCGTATATATATAGACTTGTGAAAGTCTCTTTTAATATCCTTTACAAGCTGTGAGGAAAATGACTACCTAACAGAACGCTCTGGTTTAATCTCATTTACCTACATCTAGGAATTGCCCTAGTGTGTTAGGGGGTCAATAAAAACTTGCCTATCTCTGAAATACTACCCTAACAACGATCTCTGGGTATTGTCAAAAATTATCATACATGTTTTATTTTAAACAAAACTGAATACTTGAGAGGTATGGTGTTAAACTCAGGCTCTCAGTTATAGACACTGCGTGTGTTCAGCCAATGTATCGTAAGGTTCGTGCCTCTCTGTTCACATGTGCTTAAAAATATAATTGGCCTTTGTTAAACTTCATTATGATACGCTTTAAATAACCTTACCGTGTGTAAGCGATATTACAGAGGTTATGATAAGATAAATCGTTAAATTGTTATATATGTTGTGAACTAACCATGAACATAGTATATATACTGACAATTTTGTATTGTCACAAATTATGCTTACTAATATATAATGAACTGTCTGACCTTTGTGTAAGATTGCGACAGTGCCACTGGTTCTAAGTATGGATCATATACAGCTAGAACTCCTATAATAATTTTATTGTTATATATCAAAGAAAGACCAGGGGTATTGTCTTACAAATTAATGGATTCGTACTGACAAAGTAACTTCCTACCAAAATCACAGTGGTGATACACGTATAGATATTTGTATTCTTAGTCAGAATTATTTTGAGATTATGACAATTCAGTAGGAATGGTAAGTGTTGTTAGTCATAAATAAGTATTTCATGTAAAATTTCTGCCGCGATTTTTTTTTTTTTTTTGTGCATTGGATAAACCAGAAATTATCTGTTTCACCAAATACCTTAAGTGTCTAGGATCTTTTTAACAACGTTAGAGACAAGATAATAATGACTATCTAAATCCCAGTTCATAAATGTATAAAAATGATAAAGATGTAATGAACTTTCAGGATGGACATAGATAAGAGTGACACAAAAATGTCTCAAATCATTGCAATACTTAAACAATATGTTTTCAATTGCTATCCCCTACATAAGTAGTTTTCTGTCCTGGCACTACAAGTATTTGTTTTACCTAATGACATTCTCCTTGACCTTTTATGGTCTGATGAATAGCAAATCAACCATTAACAATATGTGTATATTAGAATTCAACAGTTTAATGTACCCCCCCCCCATTTTCCGTGAACAGCAAGAGGTGTTCTTTTTGTACGTTTCCACATATATGAGATTAATTTTCTACATTCTGGAAAAAATCTACGAAATGGCATACTAGATTTGTCGAGAAAAAATATAAGCTAACAGTATTGTCGAAGTGTAATTTTTCGTAATGATGATGATGGTGTCCTAGTTTAGCATTATTGTTTATTATGAATGTTGCACCTGTATATGACGTCATGCTATGTAATGTCTTGTCAGTGTAATCTACATTGTACTCTTGATTTGTAAACGTAATGCAGCATGGGGGTGCACATGTTGGAATACAAATAAATATTTACTAACTCAACAGGTGTGCAGAGGCTCCTATTACATAACTCTTCCATACACAAGCACCTTCGCTTTACTACTATGATGCTATACTCTCATTGTATAAGCAGTTAATTATAATCACAGAATGTGCTGAATACTGTTGGATTGTTTTCCCAAGATCTAGAATCAAAACATTTGATTTATTTAGATTTCAAATCTTAAATCACTGATAATCGCAATAATCTTTAACACAACTCAACAGGGCCACCTGCTTAATTTGACTTAGTGAAGCATGTATGGCCCTTCAGATGCTATCTCGGCCCAAGTGCGTCGATAGAGGTCGTGTATCGGTGTCCGCGCACGGCAGCGGGGATTATAGAGCATTGAGGGGTAAAAATGAGTCAATCCTTGTCACGACATTACAGCAGTTTGTCATCCCAGTGGGAAGAAAGTAAGTAATGGATTTATCCGTCCATAGAGAAAGAAATGTTAAGTGGTCTTTTCCTATAGAAATAATCAACTTTTAACAAATTCCGTTGCCCACGGGATACTTCCTCGGAGAAGCAAGGAGAATTTGATGTTACTGCACTTGACATGTACTATAAAAGAGAAAGTGGACTATATCTAAATCAATGTTCCGTGAGGAAATGTTCTAAAAAAACATTTAATTTGTATCTGAATTGTGTAATGTCGTGGCAGGATTGTCTAGAAAAATATTAATGTCAATCAACTTATGAGAGGAAAATACCAGAGAAGTGACTATTAGAGTTAGAATGATAAACATATGACTTTCTTCTACAATTATCAAATAATTAAAATAAACAAAATTTCTTGCATTAAGGCACATGTTCATCAAGATATTTGTCATTTCTTTTAATAACTTGGAATTTTCTCAATTATTTCCCAAGTTTAACATTTAGGCCCTTAGCATCACTGACGAGTCCTAGAAGGATGAAACAGCTGTATGATACAGTTTAATTTATTATTTGACTTTCCTGTATCTAACTCAAAATTTGTTTTAAATGTTGCTATTCACATGTGTGTCTTGTACAATCGTCATCAATGTCTTTTGTGGTGCTGGCAAAACAATATCTCTTGGGCATAGTGGAATCACAAATAAAAAGATAATTAGCGGATTAATTAAATAGAGGTCGGCTGTCATGACTCCATCCATGATAACAATATGTAGGATACATAAGACATGACGAAGGCTGTATCTATCTCGAGCACTTGAGGACATGTATCTTGTGCTATTCCCAAACCAGCATTAGATTTGCATGTATCGTAGAGTTTTAAACCGTTCGCTTTATAAATAATACACTTCACCTTTCATGTTGAAAAGAACCACCTGATCAACTCTGTAGAAGTTACACCATCACGTCATGCGAAAAAATTGCCAACTTTATCTAATGTTTTTCCTGAAGACTTAACAATGTTTAATTGTGACAAAGTTAACACGGCATAGCTCGTAAACGTGTTATCAGTAGACGTATTAGCTAGTCTAAGCACTGCAACATTAAAATCGCTTATAACAAACGCACACTGATAGCTCTCTGGTTTTGCCCCTGTGAGGTATATGTATAGTTGGATGATCGAATTGTATGCATGATGTGGAACGTTTCTTTGAAGATTGTGGTGTTGCTTATCAGTTCTCTATGATGAAGTGTATTGTTTACATTACAACATGCAACGCGTTTCTTAATCTCATTTAATGATATCATAATTCCCTCTCATAAACACAATTCGTTTTGTTTAAGCGTGCTCAATATGAAGGTCATTTATGAAAAATCGAAACAAGGCACGTCCGTGATGTTATATTACCCTGTGTCATATTTACCTTAATTGATTTACCTTAATCCTAATGCATACAATATCAGTTAATGTGTGTGTAACATATCGAGAAATCCCTACAGGAGCGGGGAAAGAATGGGTCTGTATCTCACTGCATGGCATAAGAGACGAATAGGTGTGGAGCACCCATTGACAATTGAGGTTAGTTTTCCAATGCTGTCTGTTTTATTGGAAATCTGAGAAGCCAAGAATAGGATCCGCTGTGTAACACTACATGATGATATGGGTTGATTAATAGTGGTCACCTAGAAAAACGAGGGTTTCATTCGGTGTTTTCAACTAAATGGACACTGGAGATACCATAAGAAATCTACTGTTCCCACCGCAACTGAACTTTATATTCTGCCATTCCGCTGGTGTCCTTTTAACATCATTACCCGTAAGATCATCGCTGTTTCGAGGATGTTAAACCCCGTATACACTAAAGAATACTTAATATTAATTGAATTCTAACATATCTTTCTTTCTCGTTTTATCAATTGAAATATTTATGTGCAGCTATTACAAAATTATTCCACAAGTTGTTGAAGCTTTAGGAATCTTGAACCGTGCTCGATTTTGAGAAAAAAGCATCATTTAGAATTCCTAACTGGTGTTCAGGACTACATTTAACTCAACGAGTGGCTATTTTTACAAAGTTGTTACGTGTTAAACATATGTATCGTAGGCTTTTTTTATTTTGATAGTTTTTGATAACGGAGATTTGTATAACTATGTCATTATGCTTCTATTTCGTCCGTTCGTCCGTTGATCAGTCATTCCTTGTCTCGTTTGTTTATTCATTCACATACATAATTTTCAAAATCTGTGAGGTAACTATTGGTACGATAAAGTATTGAAATTGAAGTATTTCTCTTACCATAACAACAAAGAAAATAATGACATGTTAACAGAATCAAATTCAAACAGAAATTCGATGAAACCAGGTCAAACTGTTTGAAAATATACTAGGAGAGTAAGGCCATGTGTTTTAAAAGTGTTAGCGTCATCTGCTTCATCGATGACGTCAGATGTAAATCTTGGTCATTCCAAGTAACTAGAGACGTGGTCCTGAATGAGAAGAAAGTACATAAGAAGAAACTGTACTATATATATCGCTTTCAGTTTACTTGTCGCTTAGACACTTATTGCTGAATCAGTGCGGCTTTGAAACACTGTTTTGGTGATATCTAAGTTGCTATTCAGCTCTACAGCTGTGTTGATTTCAGTTCAAGGCACGTTCAACAATCACTTCTCTTGTGCTTCTATATTATAATACCTGCATGAGTGAGATGGCTATGTACCGCTAGCGAATTATTTTCTGTATGTATAAGTCTACTACAAAACCATATTTAGTGTCTTGTATGGTTTCTATCTCCTGGAGGCTACAAATGTGTTGCGTATTCATATTTACATTTTGGGAACAGCCAATTAGCATAGAAGGCTTAAATTCATAAATCAGTTGAGCACGTCTACATGACTGGCATACCTTCGTAATAGGGAATCCTGGTGATATGTCGTTATGACATCAGGGGCTTTACTATTTATCATCAGAGAGATTAACTCTCCTTTAAATTACCAAAGGATAGTGGTACAGAATGCTAACAAGTCCTTAGCAAAAACCACAGCTTATTTATCAAGTTCTTTTAACATTTGTAACGGTATGACCCGAGCCACATAAGTTATATACGGATGAGACTCCTGCTGTCAACAAAGTCCATAAAACAAAACAAAAAATTTAAAGGTAGACGAATTTGAAGATTTAATGAAAACAATCCTGTTTGATAAATAAGACACGTTTTCTTTTAATGTCTGTGGTTGTTTACAACCAAAAGATTCACATTAAAGAAATAAAACAGCGTGAAAAAAATACTGCAAAAATATTAATCTGTAAAATAGTGGGGATTTTTTTTAACTTTCGTCTGCGGTGAGGTCCTTTGATCATTAAAGCTTGCCGCGTCTGTTTTTAGTAATGTTTTAGGTATGTGTCAATACTGAAGATTTCTTAAATTTTTAGGTTTATATTTTCTTGTAGTGTTTCAACATTGTAAAACTCACTATCCGAAGTTATTACTGTATATATACACTACTCCTTCGCTTGAAATATATATAATACACTACACCATCCCTTTCTTAAAAGACATAGTAAGAACAATACATTATCTTAAATCACAGCATATATTACGCCAAATGCTTTGTTGCATATTGATATCGCTTCTTTTACAATGATCGTGATTTTTTGTTTATATTTTCACGCTTTCCCTTGTTCTCTGTTGATGGGAGGAATATCGACTACATTTCGGTTTTACCGACTTATTTTTTCTATTTCTTCTATTGCGTAGAAGACCATAGTACTGACATGAACAATAAGGACAGATGTTGACGGTGGTATCATACTCATTACCTTCTCCAATCTTCAAAGAATTATTACTGTAATGCTCAGATTTGCTGTTTATGGACCTTCTCTAATTGTGTTGAATACATATAATTACTCGTATTAAATGTGGTTGTTGACATGTTTGATAAAGGTTTTCAGTACTTAAATAAGCAATCAGGTGAGGGTAATAGATTATAGGTGTAAAACATACGCCATTATGTCACGCAATTAGATTTCTCACTCATGATGTCTATAGAGTTCTCACTCCTGATGTCTATGTTGATATGTGGCATTGCATACTTATAGCAACCGGGGGGTTCGTCATAAACAGGGAAGATAAACAATTGTAAAATCAAAACCATATGTGTTTGTTTGGCGTGGTTACTTTAATACGAGGGTACTTACAATTAACTTTTTTTTTAAATATGATATATTACAGACTGATGTCAATATAGTGACCTAGCTATGGGATCAGTTAAGTCAGTTTCTCGGCTGGTTATCCACATAAGTATGAAAAGTCAATGTCAAATTATATTTCATGTTGGACAATTGACTCACAAATCACAAGTCAGTATTTATATAGCATTTCCCTTACCAGCAGTGGAACCTCAGACATGTTCCATAACGCAATAAAAGAAGTTATCATAGGACATGTATGTGGTGAATACTTTAAATAAGGACGGGAAATAATCTTTCTCTACCCACGTGAAAGTTTTTAAGAAGTCGGACCTGTATGACAATGAAGATAATGACAGCCTGATAGAAGAGTTACAAGATAGCTGAGATCGGGGAAAGAATTCAAGAAATAAATATCTACTGGTATCTATATTTCATGACAAAATCTACAAACAATAATAGGATTATATATATATCAGTTATGAGTGTTAATAAATATTTTTTATTTATTAACGAACCAGTGTATGTATCATATTTGATTTACTATATATTTAGAGTATATATGAAGATAGATAGACACGTTTTGCTTTTACAAAGTGCGCATAGGAAATAAATAACAATGCGAAAATTCTGTACGATCAACACTTGCCTACTGTGTCTGGAACTCATCCACATACCATCACGCTGTAACGTAGATTAGAGCTTACGCGCTAGACTTTCGGATAGCTCCGATACAGAAGCAAATTTACCACACAACTGGTACAGACAAGGCTTTCAGCGAATATATATATACGTTATACTGCATTTCTCTGATACAGGTGGTTCCAGATAGCATTTACTATGTACGTTTTTGTAAATGGATGTTATTGATAAAAGTCCTTTGATGTATTGTCTACCTGTAAAAATCATAACTATTAAAATATTTCTGTCTGGGATAACGTTCAAAAAACTACAGAGAATATGTATCATTTAGATTTCACTGATACAAATTTTTAAGTGGTAAACGCTATACTAAATGTAACAGATAGATATCGAATGGGGAAAGTCTGAATTAACATGACATACATTTCACAATACGGAAAATTGATTCGTGCAACTTCTGTAATAAAGATTAAGTGAAAGTAAAGGTAAAAAAAGAAGAATACTAACGGTCTGGTAGAGATGAGACAATTGCCTCCGGTGAGACACATACTCCTCTGTCATACCGAGGAAGATTGGAACAGTCAAGATATTCCGGCCAGGAAACATTATGTTCGTTCATAATACGTTCACATCCCGTACGAGCTCGTTCACATACACTACGACAAGGCGGAATAGGCTCTGGTTGGAAGTTCACAGTACATATAGGAGCATACATAGCACATAGGAAAAACAACAGAACGTCGCTACAATTTTGTTCTATCAATTTTTCAAATTGTTCAATGGATAATTTTGCATTTTCTTGTGAACTATGATGGAGAAGATTAGGCATTCTTGTCATATTGTATGGCATTCCCTGGCACATGGGGATTTGTATAGGTTCACATGTTTCGGCCCTCCTGTTAAACACAAGTCCATACACAAAACTCGTATGACTCCACAACAGAAGTAACACCATCACATCTATTTGCAGCTTTGTAGATGAATATCCCATTGTTAATGTTAGAATCTCACTGACGCCGTGAAATCGTTGATAGATGTAATCCAATATCACTTCTTTAGGAACTAAACTTTTAAAATGATTTCGCTTAAAAACAGTTTCTTCGTTTTCAGGACACCGGATGTTTTTGTAAATAGTATTTGTAATAGATATTCACAATGTTCCATTTTGATTGTAAAAGTTCGTTAATATTTTGAAATTCATTCTCATTACGAAGTACTGTACATGTTTATCCATTTTTGTCCTCATCAACTTGTACAATTGTATATTGAAATGTCTAGAGTTTTCATATTTAAGGCCTATATATTAGCGGTCTACACCACGTGTGAGTTTACTAACTCATTCAAAACCTGTGATGGGGGCGTGGCGAGGGGGCGTGACGCCAACCAAACGGATCATTTCCAATCACTCAAATGTTAAGCTTTGCTCCAATAAGTGTTTAACTTACACAAATGTTTAAATCATTACAAGCGTCTAAATCCATTATTATGGACAAACACCATTTGTAAAGGTTGTGTTTTGTTTTTGTAGTTTTCCACAGAGTCCAGCGTTACAAAACACCTCTGTCGCCGAAGTCTTTGATGTTAAATATAGGCGGGGTTATAACACACGGCAGTTTAGTTTAACCAACTGCCTCTGGGTTCATTCATATCAACAGACTATGTGAGTAAATTCAAACACGCATAACATATCAAATCCTTGTTCGTTAAGTCACACAACATCGAATAACCTTTTTGATATATACTTTATTGAATCAAAGTGAGCATAGGTATGCCCTGTGCGGGTTTAGACCAAGTATCGGAGAACGCTTGGTGGTTAGCGAAATACACTAACAGATAATTATAAAAGAATTTAGTAGCCGAACCCCAGGTTTTACCCACGACCTCTAAATAGTTAGTAATTAGCTCACTGTGTATCTCCTTGGGGATATTTCTAAAAGTTCGGCATCGATCCATGCGGGGTATCTGTAGGATGAAAAATACCAAAGGATGAGAATGAAAGGTTGAAGATTACATAGGTAGGACATTGAAACCCAGGACTAAGATATACCCTTTGTACAAATACCTTGATCGCGGCAGGTAAGATACATGACGTTCCTCGGAGGGTAAACATGAAAGGGACCGGCGATTACTTCTCAGTGGTATACAGGCAGAGCTGGCTGGCGTAATCTAATATGAAGCTAGCTGTTCACGTGAACATATTTTACGATGTTATGTATACTTATGAGATAGTGAGGTGTCGTCTGAGGGAATTAGTGAACTGTTATATAACAAATATTTTAATAGGTCATAACCTAAGCCCGCAATAGCAATATACAAGTATTATGACGTTGTGATCTGTTGAAGTAACTCTGCGTTACTGGATGTTTCAATGATGTCTTTCTTCATTTGTGGATGTGTTTTATTACATGTTCATGTAACAGAGCAGGGCTTTATTAATGAGAGGTATTAATAATAAAGATGTATGACGTTAAAAACAAATAAAGGTTTAAATAGTTGAACTTAAGAAAGAAATAATTTTAAAAGAAAAAAATGATGCATTTCGGGTCGGGAAAGAAAATCAAGCTTAAAAGCTGAATTCGTGTATTAATATGATGTGGAAGTGAACTTTTACAGAATTTTGATGATGAACTCTGCCAGGAATTGCTGGTATGTAGTAGAGAATAGTACCATGTAACACGATCAGTAACTGGGTTTTTTTTTTGTTTGTTTGTTGTTTTTTTTTCATTACATTTAAGCATCAGTTTAAGGTTAGGATAGCAACTTTGTAATTTGTTTTTAACTGCCAGAATGTGTAAACCTGTATGGCACAAAACCTTATTTGTGTTTTAATTGTTTAGAGTTGAAAAGAACTATCCATCGAAGAAACCTTCAAATTTAATTAACTTTGCCAAGTCATGACAGATCAAAGATCAAAAGCTAAAGAAAACACTAGCATTAACACTATCAACTTGCTATTCAAATCAAAATGACAAATACTATCAAAATTAATTAAACTTCAATGATTTTTTTTCGGGTTTGTTTCCCTTGCAGAGAATGCTGAATCATATCAAATTTTTCGATAACATGGACAGAACAATATATATTTTTTAACCCTACGGATATTCATCTTTTGTAGGAAATGGGATATCCCTACATCACATCAATGTTGCACATACCCGTTTCACATAAGAAAACAGCTTTTGATTAAGCTATCGTTCGCTGTTATCGCTGTCCAAATTTAAATCAATCCCATGCACCTTTTACGATAACTCCCCTTTATGCTCGCCATCGAGGCTTGCTCTTGTTTACTGATTGACAATGATAGCGAGATAGGAAATGTTTAGAATTTTTCACACGTAATCTTTGTGTTTACCTTTGTCATCAAAAGCAATGATTTTACGATGTGCAGGTAAGGGAGGTCAATCGTCAGTGTATTGTATGTGTCTTTACTTAATGGCCTCTTGCCGACAGTCCGCATATAAACAGTAAACTAACCATGTCGAGAAAATGTTTATTGTTGTTATCAATCTATATTGATAAACAAACAAATAATGCTATTATATTCCATGCTTTTTCTCTTCTACTTAAGTTACATCCGTAATTGATTGTATTCAAAATCGATATATATAATAATTTATCATGAAAAAAAAAAAAAAAAATAAAAAAACATATGGAACTTAGTGAAAACCCCCGGAACACTGAATGAGTTTGAACGCTGGTTAAGAGAATAGACCGTTCAGGTGCGAAATGAAAAGAAATGAAGTGAATAATTGTTAGATAATGCTATGAAATAATTAAAAAATATTCTTGGTGAAACACACAGACGGTGATATGGGGAAAGTAGGAATCATTTACGGGTGTTTGGTATTACAATTCTTTAAAATCAAATTTCGTAAAATAAAAAAGCGAAAAGATATTTGATGTAACACTATAGAGAAACTGTAGAAAATAACGTTTGTTAAAATCTAAGTTACACTTATTAATCTTGGTGCAGATCAAATTGACATACCCCAAACCCACAGGTTAATGGGAGTGTTCAACAGACCCACCATATGTTTCCGTGCCAGGTTCGGGTCACACCGGAATTTCAGATTAGTTATAATTGTCCGGACTTTTGTTTTATCAACCTACGTATGTAAATAAATCTAAACGAACGAAAATGAGGAGTTGTAAAGACAATCTAGTATTTTTGCGGACTAGGAAATAGGATTAGCGCTAATGTCACCAAAGGATTGCCACGTGTGGTCGGTTTAAGTAGGTAAACAATAGAACTGATCAGTACAACAACAAAGGGCAAGGGACAACAGCTAACCATCCAAGGCATTCAATATGTAGAATGGGTAACCACCTCCGCGTCTGTTGACAGAATCTAACACTAGACATTCAACTGTTTGACATGGTCTTTTATCCTTCGTTTTTATATATCTAATATGAATTAAATCGTATAAAAATATTTATTACTAATCATATAATATTTGTTCTGATACTTTCTGACGAATATGACATTTTACAGCAAAAGAATTGAGACGGACGATACGTTATTGTTATATAAAATTTAGATTCTGTAGCATAAACGAGAAGTTACGTCTCCCGACTTGGCAAGTAATCGTTCATATATCGGTTCCTACTATATCGCATAGAAAGATGTTTGTATAATAGAAAAGGACACAGTGAAATCGTGAATGACAAGCTGCAATGTTATCGACTGGTCACGCCTGAATCTGGATTATATACGCAAATGGAAGATATAGACATGGCGTTTTGTTATTGGCGAAAATGACCACGTATTTTCTGTTTTAAATTTGTCACGAGGGTACGTAAAAACAAGCGGTGTTCTTATGACTGCTTTTGGCATTAAATTCGTTTTATCCTATTTTAACCACGCGATTTCTGGAATATCATTAACGAATTCGTTAATCAATATCATTCTGTTATAGGAGAATCTATAGAGATATTTCATATTTACAAGAACCATCCTTAAAAAATTATAAAACTATTTATATCATTATCACGTGAAAAGTTTACTTCTGCAATAGTTTGACGATTACTCACGTGATGTGTGATCAGCGACTATCCCACAGGGAACTTATCTAGAAGTATGTCAGATATTTCTATTAAACTTTATATATTAACGCACGTCCTTTAATTAAAGTTAATACCTGTTTGGCATAGACTAAAGAATTATGATACATACACTTTAATCATTTCAGTGATGTTTTATCATTGTAATGAAAGGTTTTAACGACTGTCTGCCGTGCTTGTATTAAAGACATATCTATTAAAACGTGTGATGAAAAAAGGATATACCTGTACATTGAAATATATCTTTATCTATTACATACGAAAGAAATCTTTAGACACGTAATAAAAGAAACAGTGCTGTTTCACATGTTTTTTTTCTTAATCTGGTTTCAGTTGAATGTATTGCAATTCAAATATTTAAGATCTATTTACTGGAGGGAGGAGGGTGTGTGTATTTAGTGGATCGGCTTGAGTTCTCTTTGTAAAGTCAAACCCTTGGTACACTAAAGAATATCCAACGAAGATATTATTGAGATATATCAGTTAAAAAAACCTTTTCTTACAATTCTTAACATCTCTCTGGTATGAAAAAAAAATCAATTCCTTTTTATCATTTCAATCCAAATCCTTTTGGCGCTTATCAATTTTCTTTAATTTTCCAATATTCTAAAACGTTATCTGGTATTAAAAAATATGTTTACTACACGTATTGAGTCAGACTTGCTATCCTATAAGCACTGATCATTATATAAGCAATATTTTAAAAATAATCAATTAAAAATCTGTTTAAAACTGATTTTTTTTTGTATTAAAGGGATAATTTAAAAACTTATTTCAAACATTTTTATAAAAAATCATTTTCAAATGCATAACTTTTATAAAGTCCGCTATTGTTTGGTATCACCTTGAGACTGAATATGGAAAAGATCACACATGATACCTTTAGATGAAAAGAAAAGCACTATAGGTAATACATTATAAATTTAATATCAAGCGTCAAATCAATATGTGTGTAAGAGTGTTTGCTCAATCATATGAATACACATCAACACAGAAAGCCT